GATCGTAATTACTTCGGCTACTTTCCAGAGTCTGGGAAAATATCTCAATCTAAAAGCAGCATTTATTAGGTGTGTCAGCTTAACTATGGCTTTTCTTGGTAGATTTTTTAATAATTCTCCTGTTACGAGATCATATCCTGGAGCTTTCTTAGGATCTATATTCTCTTTTATCTCTGCTGATACTTTTCTAAGTGATGTCAACGTTATTCTTTCTTTAGTTTGTAATGGTTCTTCCTATCTCAGTTCTTCCTCATCGTTGTCGTGGGGTTTAAACGTGCTTTCTTATTGATCTGCAAATCGTTCTGCTTTCTGATCGTTACTTCTAGCCCAGTTGCCGTTTTCCAGCTTGATAGGAGAAAAATTTATAGTTCGTCTCTTCATTCTTTTTGTTGCCTTCCATAAAAAATAATCTATATTCTGGCCAGCTGTTAAATTACTTAAAAAAGAATTAATTGTTAAATGTTTTATATTATGTATCTTCCTTTTTAATTTTTGTGTAGCATTATTTAGACTAGTTTCGTCTCGTTGACCTCTGTATTGCTGCCATTTAGCACGACAAAAAAAAACACGTCTTTCTCGCTTGCTGGTCAAACATCGTTTCTCTACATATGACATTAACTTCACTACTTTATAGTTCATTAGAGTTCTAAAAGTCCTTTTTATATATACATACCATTACGCTGTCTCTCCATGCATTGGGCATTATTTCTTCCTCGTATATCCTACTCATAATTTGCCACAAAGGATCCACACTAACCAGATATTTTTTTGGGATGCATTTGACGTTTTAGATCTGCTTCAAATTGGTATGGTTGTAAATTGCACAATATTATTTATCGACGAATCCAATAATCCAAAAATTTACCTAATTCTTGAAGATAAGGTTGATGAAGATGACGAGTTAAAAAAAATTACAGTCAGTTTCCGACTTTTGGTCTATGCTTACATACATTTAATTCCTGAAGGAGTTTAATTTTGTACGTATACTGACCCAAGTAGTGACTCAAATTTCGCTAAATATTTTATACAAGAAAGCATGAAATATTACCAAAAAAAATGTGAATTTAATGCAGAAAAAAATTATTAAATTTAAATATTTATTTTAGATATTTTTAAATCTACATATTTTTAAAAAATCCTTAATGAATCTCTAACACAATTCCAAATTTTCGCAAACTTCCTCAGGAGTATGTTCTTGTAGCTGGTCATAGATTCTATCAACTTTTGGGAGCAAATTATGTTGACAATATTCTCTCAAGTCATCTGGTAAAACAGCGCATAATGTGTCTGCGTTTCTTTCAACTTCATCCTATAATAACAGAGGAAACGGTAATTTTAGTTTAAAGTTTTACTTTATAAAATTAGACTATTTAAAAACTAAAAGTTAAGATTATGAGTAATGTGAATAAGATATTGATGAATGAATAAAAAGTGATTTTATATTTGTAAAATAATAGAGAGAACGGTTAGTAAAATATAAAACATCCAAATATAGATGAAGAGATAGAGAATAGAGAGAAAGATGCGAAAAGTAAGTATAAAAACACTGAGATAAATAAAAAATACAACAAATTATATACTTCTAAGATATGTTATTTTATGTAATAATTATCATACAAAACTTATAGATGACAAGATTTTCAAATGTGCAAAACAAACTTACAATATAGACAGAAACGCACATGAATATATATCAAAGAAATTCTTTAAAAAGAGTCCATCAATTATGACTTCTGACGTATAATTTTACTAAAACATAACAAATTGCAAGCATACTGACAATCGAATAGATCAGTTATATCGAAAGCAATATAAAAATTAAGAAAAAATATATTTGTACCTTAAGTGATGGTCTTACATCGGTCAAATTGGTAGAACTTTTAACAAAGGTATATCAGAACATAAAAAGTTTTACCATAATAATAAAAAAAAAACAGATTCTGTATACGAACTTCACCTTCTAGATTATAATCATTCTTTTAATGAAGGATTTTAAATTCTTCACATCCAAAATAAAGACCTTAAGCTATCTTTATTTGATAGAATCAAAGAAAATTTACCATGTAGAAAATACAGATTTTATTTTAAATGACAAATTTAAGAAAACAATTCTTCTCTCCTTAATGTATTTAGTTAAAAACTATAAAGTGTAAATAGATAAGAAAAATTGAGAAAGGCACTCTGGCTAAACAGCTATAGTCATAAGAGTTTTTAATAAATTTTGTAGAACTTTTGAAAACCAAGTTTTTAGTCTTTTATTATTATATATTTGTAGACTCTTACACACAGATTTTATTTTATCTAAAAAAATGCACGTACTATTGCATGTTTTATATATTTTTTAATTATTAGTAATGAAATCGATTATTCTAATGCCAGTTATACAAAATGTACGTAAAACATTTGACAACTACAGTGGTATTATAAAACTTACCAAGGGTATTCCATCTTCGACTAAATCCTTGATAACAGTTGTAAATAATATACAGTTGTCGCAATCAAACCTGTAGAAACAAAAGAATTTTTATTAATTCAATTAACTCAATTTCATAGACTTTTTTAGACCGGTTTTTAGAATATTTAGTTTATTGAGGTTATTATTATTGAGGTCTGCAAAAGAAACTCAGTGCATATTAAACAATCTTCAAATTTCACTAACAGAGCTCAAACATTTTCTCTTCCAAATCCTAAAAATCTAAATGAATACTTTGTTACTATGCCCAAGTTTTTGATTGTGCAACCCATGACATTTTGATAAAAAAGCTAAATTTCTAGGGAATTCGAAACACTTTTTTAACTTGGCTTCAATCCTACTTGGGAAATAGGAAATAACAAGTTAGAGCAAATGATCCTTTCTTGTAACATGGATAAACTAGAAGCATTATTTTAAAAAAGAGCTCTTCAACCTTGGCTTCCGAATAACAGTCCGATAGTATCGTTAATTCTGTAAAAATTTCTTGGTATTTTTATAGACAGCCTTAAATGATCCATTCATACCGATTTGTTAAGTAAGAAACAAGCTTTAGCTTGCTATGTACTAAAATCTGTTTTGAACAAAATCAATTAATTATTCTCCAAAATATCATATTTTTCTTTTTTCCAGTCTGATTTTTGATATGATCTAATTTTTTGTGGTTCTAGTAAATTTCCAATAGCGTGGATTAAATCTTTAAACGGATATTATTGAGGCTAAGAAATTTTAACAATAAAATTTATTTTTGATAAAATTGGCCAGATTGGCAAACATTTTAATGGCAATTTAACTTTTATTTGTACGATTTTTACTTACTCAGGCTCAGGCTCGTCGGTAGGCTCAGGTTCAGGCTCAGGGGTTCTTTTGGCGAATACGGTCAGACCTAAAAGTAAACAATGGCTTTTTATTTTTAGGAATATTTAGAATGAAATAATTTATATTAGGATTTTTGTATTTTTAAATTGTGGTACGTTACAAATGAATCTAGTAATCGGTAGCCACATACGCAAAAAATACAAATAAACAAAATAACAGTAAATTAAATTGTTGTTATATTTAATAAAATATGTTTAAAGATATATCAAGAAGTTTTTGAATAATCTTAAAAAGGCAAAAATAACGAAGAATGCTTAAAAAATATACTTAAATAAAATAGCAAAAAACTATAAAGAATATAAAAAATGAAGGAGATTAGTAAAAGAATTTGTTACAGAATCAAAAACAGACAAAAGTACAAAATAAAAAAAAAGATAAAAACAAACAGTAAAGCCATTTAAAAAATGTTTAATGGGGTTCTAAGGTTAACGAAAAAACATAAAATTAAGGCAAAAAAAAATGAAGAGTAAAACGACATTATCACACATGAAAATAAAAAAATGAACAGGTCGAGAGAATATTTTCAAATATAAACTTATTGCTATCAAAAAGAAAATAACCTGTTACAGTGGTTTGATAAGTAAGCCTGAAAACTGGTAGCCTAGATATTCTACTACAATAAAAAATGTATCTAATGTTGTTAGGATTGTGTTATCACCTATACTAGTATTGGGAACCCACAGTGGCAACGTTTTCATCATTTGGCACCATAATTGAGAAATCGCAACGCAGATTTAAAAAAGGCTCCATGATTATAATATTTATATCAACCAAATTATAAAAAAATATCAGCAAACAGAAAAAAATGTATTTGATAAATATAGACCTTAAAAAAATATTTGATACAATACCAAGACAGAAATTATAATAAAAAATAGGGAAGAGAAGTTTTAATAGCAAAATAATAAGGGTATTGATAAGGAAAAAATATTGCAAGAGCGCTTGAATTATGATATCAGTTTAAAATGAACATCAAAAACCATTAACTACAATTAAGGATCTAACACAAGGAGACAAGTCCAACGAAAATTATTCTATACATGGGGTGAGATAATTAAAAAATGTAACATACAAGGGAAAAAGATGCATGTGCGTTATAGAAATTTAAGATTAAAAATTTCGTGATATTGGCCTAAAATAAAAAACAACTTCAAATATATTTGGAAATATGCAATGATGGACTTACAAAAATACTGAATGACAATTAGTAAAAATAATATAAGAGTTATACGGATTGGTGAAAATTAAAGATAAGGAGAATGAGGATATTAAATCAATATAATAGGCTTGTATTAACATTTGGTTGCGAGTTGTAAGTTCTAACAGAAACTTTTGGATGTACAACCTACACGTGTAGTTAGACCTAAAATATTGCCAAATTTCTAATAATAATAATAATCATCTGAGTTTCTACTGTATATTTGTGGCTTTAACAGCTTTGTTATTTTTTCACCTCCAAAAATTGCCTCCTTGGTTTCTGACCCTGAGACACTCAGTATATCCAGTTTGCAACACAAGTGAAATTAAGAAACATTTAGTCAAAAGTACACAGATAAAAATAAATAATAAGTAGTATTCAATATTCAAATATTACCAATTAAGAAAAATAAAGGATTATATTAAATAAACATAAAAAACATTTATTACTTACCGACGCAGAACAAGAGAGTCAAAACCAATGTAGTCTTCATGTTTGAGAATTATATTTCACAATAATGTGCATCGTCAGTTTGGCTTTATATACAATAAGAAGTCAACCACTTACACTAAGGACCACTTGACTAATTACGTTTCTTGTTATTGTTAATACTCCCCACTACCTTTCTATATTTGTTAACCTTGATATCCATAGACGATAAGAAGAAGTACTTATTATAACATAATGATCATTTAAGATATGTAAAAAACTTCTTATTTGTAATAAAGAAAATTTAATGTTTTACTGATATTGAATCTACGTAATATCAGACAATATCAATTCTTATTGATAAGTCATCTTATTTTGAATAAGTCTACGGTCTGAAAATTTGACATTGTCAGAGGTCTAAAATGTTAAACCTCTAGATATGAGTAGTAGATTAGCCCTTCGGTGCACGGGTGATAATTTGATACACGATTTGAAGGAACGGGTTGGGTCTGAAAAGCCGAAAAATTAAACTAAGAATTTTTTATGTTTAATTTTGTAACAACAGGTTTGCGTTGCATATATTAGAACTACTACTAAAGACAACTTACATGTGCATAAAAAAACTGCTATTATAATATTAAAACTAAAAATATAAACGAAATTACATACTACAATATGGCAGATGTTTAAGAACACCTTGTATATAATTTATTCAGTCATTTTATCAATGCATATGCGACAAACAGGCACAGTACGTTCTAAGCAAAAATAAATATTTTACAGTAGTGACACATGTAGTGACTTTTACGATCTCTACAAAAAGCACAACGCCCTCTTTTATTTTGCAATTCCGCAGATGTTTCTACTGGTCCAACACCACTGAGTTTAACAGCAAGCTCTCTTATATATCGTGCCAAATTAGTAGATTGAGCTGCTTTTATATTACATCTTATAGTTTTATAGTACATATACATCATTTTATAGTACATATACATCACTAACTGAAGACCTAGTTTAAAAAAAAATCTTATTCTTTTGCTTGTTTTTAGATCCGGTGTGTTACTTGTCTGTATCACAAATGCATTTATGGCAGCAACATCAAGCAATGCATAAAATATGACCATTGTGACAATATGGGAACCTCGAAGTTAATCAACGGTGTCCACACCACCTTTCGTAGGATTATAGAACATTATTGCTTCAGGTTTACCTTCGTCACCCGTTTTCGGATCGATTTGCTCATCAAAAGAACAAAATATTTTTTTTGGTTTTGGTATATAGGACAATATTGTCATATCTTTGGTAAATCCAAACATAGTTGATTTTGGCGGTCTATTATTAATTAAAAATTCGGTTGGGATATGCCTTTCGTTTTGCTGTAGGGTGCCTACAATTGTTAGAATATGATTTGTCGATAAGTTTTGTGCGAGTTCAATTGATGTAAACCAATTGTCCATTGCGACATTCCGTTTTGATTTGGAGATTGGTTTGCAAAGCCGCTCAACCACATCGTTGACTGCAGAATTGATAGAATGTGGACCTGGTAATTGTGTACCGGCATATATTTCCAATTAATAAGTATAGAACGTGCGAGAGTACACCAAGGAAAATACCTTTAGACCGTAACTGGCCGGTTTTTTGGAAGGTACTTTCTAAAACTAGAGCGACCTCTAAAGCCTAAAAGCATCTCATCGATAGTGACATATCGAACAATGGTATAATATTTTTGAAAATTTTCAACTACATCCTCGAATATGACTCTAACTGCTGCAAGTTTGTCTACTTGTGTCCGTTCGTCCCTTGTACGAATATCATCTAGGCGTAAGCACTTCATAAGAAACCGAAATCTTCGGAGAGCCATTATTGCTGAATATATGTTAATGCCAGTACCATTTTTTCCCAAAACTCCAAAATTGAAGTTCTACCTCCACAGTAAACTCCAGCTAACTTAAGCACACCAATTAGAGCTTTTGGTTCACATATATTTGTTAGCCTCGGATCGGAACTCTCTTTATATCTTACGGACACACGCTCGATATATACATTAGTACATTCAACAATATGTTTTATAATTTTGTCAATATAAAAAAATTTCCCAGCATTCTTTTTCAGTTTTGCAATTTTTTGCTTCAAGAATAACTCCAGGAAGTTTTGTTATGATATTTTCTCCTCTAGTTCTAAAATTTCGTGATCCGCATATCTTATTTCATTTCATTCCATTTTTGGTATTGTAATAAAGGTGTTGGTTTGACTTATCTTGTGGAATAAATTCCTATACGTTTAATTCGGTGTCTGATAAATCCAATTCAGACTCTGAGTTATGATTAGCATCTTCATGTTCTAAGTTGCCAACTATAGACTCATTGGAATCTGAATTTTCTTCCTCGTCGCTTGCAACTTCCTTGTAGAGACGTTGTAAATGTTTTGCCTCTCTCTTGTAAGAATACATTGTTTTGCTAAGCTCTAAAAACAATACTCTGCGATTTTTGTTTTGTACTTTCATAAAAAAAAATTACATTAAGGAACGGGTTGGGTCTGATAGAACGAAAACAGATATATCATTGACAGTATTGCTTCAATGCGCATTCGTAACTAATAAATTATAGCTAGCTATGCCGACGAAAGCTACCTAGACCTTTGCAACCCGTGCATCGCCAGGATTAGAAAACTTAAATTAGTTTTCAGTAGCTTTTTCGTAAATGTGAAAATTACAAAGTCTACTTATATAATGATTATTATTCTCAGCCTCTGCTACAGATTATGGTGTAGCCTATCTAACATTGCTATTCCACATTTCTTCCTACGACTATCTAATATTATTTTCTCTGTACTGTCATTTGGGGTGAATCCGGACGGTTTTCGCGGTTTTTGACTATAAATCGTTTGAAGTAGTTCTAAAAAATTTCAACAAAATAATTTAAATACTTTAATATATTCAGCATAATGGATTCTGATAAAAGTTTTAAATTTTACTGCAACACTTTAATTGTTTGGGTTAGTTAGTGTCCGGATTCGCCTCGACGCGACGTTTGGGGTAAAACCGAACGTAGCAATATTTTGAAATATAAATCGTATTCGGCCGTGAATAGGACTTAATTCGGACAGAAAAAGATAACATACTTTTAAACAGAAAAAGAATCATACCAAAAAACATTTTATATTTGAAAAAAAAATGATTTTGACAAAGCAGCATGAATATAAAATAAAACAGGGCTATTTAATTTTAAATTCATTCTGTAAAATAAGACTACCAAAAAAACTCAATATTCCACATTTAAACTAGAAACCAGAAAAAATTTATTCGATTCGAATATTTTTCATTCTGAATAGAATGGGAAATTGGTATCTCTGACGTCCCATATCCGTCACGTTTTCAAGAATTTTAAAAATTTTAATCTCTTCAATTACATTTTCATCTTTTATTTTAGAATACGTAAAATAAACCTACATTTTTTCTGATGTTAGCTTTCTAAGAAAGTTGACAAGATAAAGGTTTTTTCCCATCAATTATCTCTGTAACATTCCCAACATAATATTTATCTACATTCTTTGGTGAAACTAATTTAACAAGTACAAATGTATTAACGTCTATAGAATAATCGGTCTTACCAATTTCAATTTGTTCACTTTCAACCTCAGCCTTTTCTTCAGTCTGTAGCTCTGTTTTACTTTGGTCATCCCCACTACTTATTCTTTATTCTTCAGTTTCCCTTTCTTCTCCGAATAATGGTTGTTCTAAATCTCTTGCGCTTAACCCTTTACGTCCAGGCACCAGTAACTTTTTACCCCGTATTTTTGAACGTTTTTGGGTTGCGCCCTGTCTACTTTTATGACTAAAGTTTTAAAGAGTGTTGGTCCAGTGGTCTTGGTTTTCAGTTTCTGAAGGTTTACTAACAGATAACTTTTTGATGACGTCATCTGACTTTAATGGAATATTTCCGCAAGATTTAAAATCAGACGTAATATTATCTTTGATATGAACATTGGCTTTAATAGCTTTTTTAAATAGCCCAGGGAACTCAAACTTGGGAATACACCCTCTTTTTTTGGTTTTTCATTGAGTAAATGATATTTCGCCACGACTTTTTAAATGAAGCAAAAAAAGGTACGTCTACGGCTGTAACAACTGCGTTGCATTTGGAGGCAGCATCACAAACTGAATGTCATACTTTTCGCTGTTTTTGACAACATGTATAGACATATGGCTAGATAGGTTATCGCTTATGATTACTTTTTTCCATGTATATTTTTTAAAATTTTGGAAAAGAATTTCATCGAACCAGTCTTTGAATGTTGGAGAGTCAAACCAGCCTGACTTTGTTCTCTTGTAGACACCCTCTTTTGGCTCTTTCTCTACCCATGATGGATATAAGTGTATCGATGTGTACACCATATATGGGGCTAAGAGTACATCTGATCCGCTAATAGCCATCATAATTGATGTGTTGGCTTTGCTCGAATCCCTTATTCATTCGACCCTTTTTGATCCACGGTGGTTAAACAATTTTATTCTACCCGAATCGTCAGTTAAATTAGTTTCTTCGTAATTTACAATGTGAGCCGGGAAAACGCCTTTAAGTGTGTTTTTTAAATTGTTAAAATAGTTAAAACTGTTTCTGGTGTAACATTCGCCCTACACCTTTTTATATTTTGGGATATACGTTCTGTTAGAACAATATTTCTCTTAATAAATTTATAAAACTTGTCGATCCCAAGTAGATTGTCCTTAAAAACCATAATAGTTTGTCCTTTTCTGTCCAGGTAGCTTTTTATTAAGACTCTTATATCGGAACTGGTCCTGAGAAACCCCCATTCAAAGAATTTTATGATACCTTGTGCTATCATTCTTTCTTACTGTGCTGTAAGAGCATTTTTTCCACCCTGTTGAAATGTCGATTTACCTTAAAGTCTATCATGTACGGTGGATTTTGGTACACAATAATATTCAGCAGCTTGTCTTAAGGCTTTGATTGTATTTTTAGTATCAGAAATAGCTCTCTCCATATTTTCTGAATCGTAATTGATGAAGTTTCTACCTACTTTTCTTTTATACTGTCACACCAT